GCATCTCGCTACAATGAAGATGACGACATAACGGTAAGAAACTTTTATCGTCATATCTATCGGTCACATACCACTGTGGTAGCKGTTTGTTGGACTGGTTTTTCTCTGATRTAYGARGTCTCTGATGTAATGTACTTGCTTGGTTCGCCATTACTGCTCGAGGTTACGATCTTTGAGCGTTTGACGTCTCCACCACTACTTGTAGTATATGAAGACGTAACTGAGGAAAATTTGATAAAACAATAGAGAAACTATTACTAAAAACATATGTTCAGTATCTGTAGTAATTGGGGGCCATTATAGTTTAGCGCGGTTTGAGTTTCTGCTTATTTTCGGTATTCCTGTCATTTTTGTGGCAGTTTTGCGGTTGTGAAGACATTGCTCGGTTGCGAATTTGCCGATTATTTTAGCGCTGTTTACGCTTTCAATGCACTTTTCTGTCCCCTATAATATTCTCCCTAATACAGCATCGAACGAAACCTTCTTTTTGACTGCTCCCTAGGTACAGCTATTGTTATTAGATTTGATTTTGATTTGTTTGGAATAGTTTCTATTGCTTGTTCATTGTTTTCTCAACTTATCATGATATTCGTTCCGGTCGGTGCTGACTGCCCCGTCATCTACGAGTTAGGTTTAAAAATAGCCGTTTTGCGAATTTTGCCTCGTAGTCAAACACAAAAGAGTCAAGACGAGGCGCCGTGCATAAAGCTAAGAATGACTGAATACACGGCGTCTAGTATTGATTACTTTGTGCGTGACTACCGAGGCAAAATTCGTAACATTGACTTTATCAATGCCATCAAAATGAATGAAAACTGGAAATCGAAGTCCAGGTGAACAGCGGTCGTAGGCAAAGAAACTGCAGGTAGTTTCAAATGGTTTCAAGTTCATCAATTCTATTTTTGTTTCCTTTTATTTACTTCACTTGAACATTCTTAATAAAAAGTGCGTGACATACCATGACATGACATGCCAACCCGTGACATCCCTTTGCGTGACTCACCTGTCCGTTTCACTGTAGATGAAACTTGAGTGCTTTGCATTGTACGAGTCGTAGTACTAGTCATTGTGTTACCGTGTGAATATGCGTCACGCGAAGCAAGGACACCATTTGAATCACCAGAACTGACAGTACTTAGCGTGATAGTGGGTGACAACTTATTGTATAGCATAGCGACGTACATCATGATAGACTTCTTATCAGGTCTGTCACGCGTGACATCTGTAACGCAACAGAAAGTCATCAGAGAGAAGGAATTTTGTTTGGAATTCTAAGGAACTTCACATTTGACAACGAGTACGAGATTGAGTACGAGTACGAGTTTTAAGAGTGCTAATTAATCATGAATTGCATTCCCTTTGAATAGATTGAAACATCAAAAACAAAAACACGAAGTGGTTTGAAATCCGTTATGGATAACACAATATAAGTTCCCTGTTGTCGCTGCTGCTGCTGTTGTTGTTATTGTTGTTGCTGTCATGACGTTGTGTGCTGTTATTGTTGTTGTTGTTGTTGTTGTCGTTATTGTTATTATCTTCGATGTTATTGTTCTGTACTTGTTGATGTTGATCGCATGGTTTTGTGTCTTGTTGTTATTGTTGTATGTTGTTGTTGTCGTCGTTGTTGTTGTTGTTGATGATGATGTTGATGCTGTTGTTGTTGTTGTTGCTGATGATGTTGTCGTTGTTGTTGTTAGTGCTGATGTTATGTGTTGTTACATGGCTGTGTATTGTTGTGGTTGATGATGATGATGATGATGATGATAATGATAATGATTGTTAATGATATTACCTTCTGGATCCAGGAGACGATCGACACCAAGTTTATCACGAGCAACGTTGAATGCATTCTCGCAATTGTAAGACGCACTTTTTCCGATCAAATTATCAAATTTGACGAGGTCAGGCCTATCAAGTACAAACAATCAGGTTAAAATGTATGTTAGTTAGGCGTAACTGAGATGTTCATAGTAGAAGTGAGAAGGATATATTCGCACTAATAGACCTTTTACGTCATGTACCGAATACGCAATGCATTGTAGGATATGTCTGGGACAAAACATGGCGGATTTCTTTTGTTTCCTCCAGAAACTAATACCCACAATGCATTGAAAATCAAGTAGTGACGTAAAAGGTTCAGAAGTCTATTTCAAATGCCTTACTTAGTCTGTTACCTGTATCTATGTATAAGTGCATTGAAGGCAAGACCATCTTTCCAACTTGTAGTAAAATTATTGATGTTGACATTGCTGTATCTAAAACACAAAGAAAACAACATTCGCACAGGATTATGGTTAAAAACGAAAAAAAAAAGTTGATGATCACTTACTCCTTGGTTGACTGCCTACACCAGCGCAACAGCGCCTCCTCAGGGGACCCCTGAAAGTCAGCCATCAGCGATTGAAGAGCATGTAAAAGCTGAAACGAAAGATATAGATTTAATATGGAGAAAAATAAATGAAAGAGAGAAAAATACATGAGAGAAAAATACATGAAAGGGAGTAAATTAAGCGGCACTTTATTTGAAATTATCTCAAAATCCGATGATCACACGATGGAAAAACGAGCACCGAAGACATATCGACTGATTTATGATACTTATTAATCACGCTCATCCACAAGTGTCTGTCATTGCACGCTCAACGACCACCTCGCTTCGATGTAAGGCACGGTTACATTTCAATATGGCGCAGGGAACCGTGAAGGAGACTATTGTTCAAGTCTAATGTTTGAGGAGCAATCACTTATTATCAATTGAAGGTTAATATCGCGCATGACCTAAAAAAGTAATAGGTGTGAAACTTAGGATTATTTACCAATTAATTTAGTAATTACATCTCATTTAATTTATTGGCTCATTGACCATGGGAAAAGTTTATGCAATAAAAAAAAATAGTGACATTCTCGAGTTCCTCCGGTTGCCGTTTGGGACCAAATATGAATTGCTTGATTTGTTCTCAATCTTTCTGGGGGTTTTTCGTAAAAACTATCTTAGCCAAACTTCTGTCGCTGCCATCTTTGAGCCAACATTTTTACTTTCAATATTGCCAACTCGAATTGTTAGTTGCATGACTGAACGCCTACGTCACGTTAGGTAGATAACGCAATGTCTTTGCGCTTATCTTCAAACGAAATCATTCCTATGTATTTAGAATTAGACATGTCACTTCGAATTAAGAAAAAAATAGGATTTAATGGTTTAACTAAAATTTACTGTAATTTCAAGATTTGCATGTAATTCTGGTAACGAATCATCTGGGAAGCTATTCAGATGTCCAAGATACGGATTTCTAATGAAGAAAATCATTTTAATGTCGCTTAGAACATTAAGAAAACCATTCGAATGTCACAAAAGCCACCAGACGTTTAAAGTCCCTGGGAAATCGTTAAACTCGTGAACACTTCGCTAACAGGCTGGGAATAACACGCCAGTATTTACCCTACCGATAAGAATGCTTGATATATTGGTATTGATTGCATTTCAATCAATTAGAAGCTCTGATCGGACTGATATTTTGCTACAGATATTTACTATAAGATCGCTTATAAAACAATTAGATTCCTTGATGTATTTAAAGGTGTTGGATCGAGGAAAATGAAATGAGACGGTTTAAAGGTACGGTTGATTACTAGGGGGTCGCGGTACGGTGTACGTTCTGAACAACAGCCACTAATCACATGTCACATTTATAAATCGACCGGTTGTTAACGCTAAAAGCCTATAAATCCCATTTCACTTTATCAAATACACGCGATTGTAAAAAAAAACTCTTAAAATCATATCGAAAAAGTCTCGCGAATTCAAAACTATCGTAACATGAGGAAAATTGTTTCACTAGTATCGTGGGGCTTAGAAATGCAATGGAATGACCTTTGGGGCTCTGTTTTGATAAACCACACAAGTAGAACATTCTTAATCCAACGAGTACTCTCAATAAATTACAGCGTTAGATCTACATATATGTGTTAACTGGAGAGGCAACTGCCCTCTGTAATAATACAGTTTGGGCGTTTTCATCTAAAGTGAGTAAAATCGGGGGCATTGTGCGAACAAGTTAAAAGTAAAAGGCCAACGGAGAGCTCGTTACAATATCAAGTATCGACACATCAATATCTAGCCAACATTTCACGATCTTTACGAACTTCAAGGCTCACGACGGACATCTGAGTAAATTACCACTTACCTAAGGTAGACAGCAAGGTGTGTATAGAGTTTTAGTAGTAATTTGCGACCAAGAAAAGAGTTCTAAGGGTAATTATAGTATCAGTACGTCTTCGGATCAACAAGGGGGTATTCGATGCGATGTTTAGAAAACAGAGATTCTTTGCATTTTTGGTGATAGGATAGTCATCAGTGTCAACACGCCACTTGACAGATTTAACAACCACACTCATTTCACGGTGTAACGACAGGTGAATGCTGCGATCTTGTGTTCGAGAATTCATTTCCAGTGTGGCATTAAAATGGGTTCCATGTTTAAAGCGACATTCGAATGGTTTCCCTGACATTTGAGGGTTTTCTTGGTTTGTTTTTTGCTCTGTTGCTATTGTTGTTGTTAGTGTTGTTGTTGTTGCTATTGTTGCTTACTTACAATGTAAAGACAAGAGATTGCTTTGATGTAACATTCTAGAATATATTCCCATTGTAACACTGAAATGGTTTCCACATGTTAAGCGACATTCAAAAGGTTTCCCACAGCCATTCGAATGGTATTAACTGTGAAAAGAATTCTGTTACTTTGAAAATATTTTTTTTCTCCTGACATTCGATTGACTTACATGTAAGCAGCAATGACATTTAAGACAGGGAAACCCAAATGGCTTCCATGAAAAACTACAGACTGAGGAGCATGCCATTCTCAATATTCGAAAGGCCGAAAGAAGTGACATTTGGATGGTTTTCGAATGATGTCATTTGAAAGAGTTYGATACTGACTGGACTGGTATCCCWGGGTATGCCTGTCCCAACATKTGAATGGTAACTTCCCTTTACAGGTGGCATTCAATTGGCTTCCCTGTAGAGTGTGGCATTGAAATAGCTTCCCTGCTATGTTTTTAAAAATTCAATATAATAGGATATTTGATTGTAGAGATATCAGAGTGGACAACACAAAGAAAAGTGAAATGCTTTTGTCCTAAAGCTTCTACGTTTATATCACTAATCGAATACTTGATCAAAGATTCGATCGCTCTTGATCAAAGATTCGATCGCTCTTGATCAAAGATTCGATCTCTCTTGATCAAAAATTCGATCGCTATTAATCGAAGATTCGATCGCTCTTGATCAAAGATTCGATCGCTCTTGATCAAAGATTCGATCGCTCTTGATCGAAGATTCGATTGTTTCGTGACAATACAAAGGTCACTGACTTAATTCATTGTGTTGACAGAACTTAAGGAGTGAGGTGTCAGTATGCACTCCTAATAAACAATACACTGGATTATCCTTGTGTACTTGAGACTTGATCGTATTTGACTTGACAACAAAACCATGTCTGTACCAATCAAAACCCCGGCTTAAGATGCTACAAGAGTATCGCAAGAGGTAAAAACTTCACTCAAAAGAATCTCAAAAGAATCTCGAAATTTCATTAATGTAAAATATAGTAATGCTTCAGGCAAAATCATGTGATAAGCAATTTAGTTTTCAAATGGTCCTCTCCTGCTATGACGTCATATGATGTTCTGCGAGATGCATCATGGGATTGACAAGAAGTCAAACTGAAGCAATGTTATTGTGTGTCAAATAACAAGGAGTTGAAATAACTCCACCCAATGGAGTTAAAGTTACTCTACCCGTTGGAGTTACTATTGAAAGAGAGTTTAATATACTCTACATTACGAGTAGTTTTTACTCAAGAGGTTTAAAACAACTGGGAAAATGAGTCACAAAATCACTCCAAAAGGGTTTTAAAATCGCTCTTAGAAGAGGAATTATTCTCCCACAGTTGAAGCTACAATTGGTGGAGTTCAATCTACTCCAGAAAAAGAGTTATCTGGTACATTTTTATAGTCAACTTCTTTGGCTAATTTTGAACGGCTTTTGAGCAGAAATATTATTAGGGCTTTATCTAAAATATCTTTTTACAACAGGTACCGTACATCTCGTTTGGAAACTTGTGCCATTCATTGTTTTTATAAGTTATCCGCCATCTTGAAATCAGACTTCGTCGAATCAGACTGACGTCATACATAGCGAAGGGAAAGCCTCATTTTTATAAAATATAAAGCAGACATCCTGGACCTACCTGGAAATGAGATATAATGTTCCAAAGAAGACCCAATGTAATTTTGGGATTTCCGTCCACAATGTCATTATTGCTGATCCCAACTAACTTAATCTGAAAATAAAAGTAGCATATTCAACAAAGGTTTTCATAAAGAAACGCATAAGTGCAAGCGTAAACATGCCTTAAAGGCCCATGGTTATCCGGCATTCAATGCGGTGGTGTTTTAGATTTTTCATATAGAGCGGATTTCGTATATCTGTGCAAAAACCACGGCACCTTCGCGCCGTGGCCGTACGGTGCAGTGACGGTGATGTATTATTGAATTTTTATTCTCATTTGGAATCACTGCAATTTTCCTTAACAACTTGCATTATGTTTTGGCCGAGGTAAGTTGAGAGCCAGAATCAAGATGACAGACTTTTGACGTAAGAAATTACCACTGGTTATAACAGCGTACGTAACTCGAAAATTGCGAGAAAAGTTGCTGGATGGTTAATACACTGTGCAATGGCGACGCAAGTTGCGGAAATTCATTGCGATAAGTAGACTTGAGTTTCACTTCACATACAACGATACACGCAACAAAATAAGCTGCGAGACGACCCCTGTTACACATAACAATAGTCCCCTTCACGGTTCCCTGCGCCATCTTGAAAGGAAGCCGTGCCTTTGCATCGAAGCGAGACAACCGTTGAGCGTGCAATGATAGAAACCTTCTTTCACACCTACAGACAATTATTCACAGGTATCTATCATTGCACGCTCAACGGTCGTCTCGCTTTGATGTAAAGGTACGTCTACCTTTCAAGATGGCGCAGGTAACCGTGAAGGAGACTATTCTTCCAGCAACTTGCACCGCCACTGCACGGTGTAAATGAGTGCATTTGTAGATTAAAAGAAACTTCTTACTTACATTATAGTTTTCAAGGGCTGTCATAGCATTGTTGACGTTGTTGAGGTGATGGACGCGTAGCCGTCCCCTTTCACGCCGCTGCAAATGCAACAAAACGTTAAAGGTTACTTGGATAAAAATTGAGAAACATTAGAAAAGACTTGGACATCAAACAGACTTATCCATATGGGTCTAATAATCATGAAGCAAAAGATTTCAAAAAGATATTGATACAAATCTTTAATAATTTGGGCAAAAAATGTTGGAGTAGGTGACGTCATTTACTCCATCCTTTTGTTCTTCCATCTTTTGAATCAAAATTTCTTTGATGTGGGATAATTCCGAAACAAATATTTTCCCGCAATTGTTTTTAATAGAYATAAATGAATCATATATTTGTATTGCTTGARGTTTTGAAWTAATGGCATTTTCATGCAAGTAGCACTTTAAACCTTTGTATACGTCCAATTATAACATATTCATTATAAGGGTGAATGGCCTGAACCCAGTTGTTAGTGATGTAGGTGTTATATCAATGTCCAGGTGTGAGACGTTTGAGGAAGATGGAGTATGATCTCTATTTGATCTTATGTTCTTACAATATAAAGTCATTGCTTCCCCCCCTTCCCTGATACAATGTTGGTAGTTCTAAATGCAAAAGATACAGGTCATCATCCAACAAGAGGCAATACTGAATCAGGGGGGGAGAGATTAAAGAAACAGGATAAGTTTAGACCACAATGCACAGGGTATTGCAATTTCAGAAAAGTCCTATATATTGCTGCAGCAACCATGTTGCATTTTGGCAATCATAAATATAATCTAGTGAATCTCATTACATCCTTTTTTAAATGGTTGCATATTTATGTAATACACCTTTTCAGTTGCACTTATAGGCCTCGATAGCAAGTTAATTATTCTTTTGAATTTGACAAATGGGACTTTTCTTATCAATGTTTGCATTGCTCACATTCCTACAAATTAAAAAGAATATTTAACACGCTGTCGATGCCTAAGAGCAACTGAAAAGGTGTACTGAAAAATTTGGTACTTACAATTTTCTTTCCACACAAAACTTCCAATAATGTTAGTAAAGTTGTTCCATCTCKCAGGTCCTCAAAMAGATTGTTGACACGCACTTCAGAACCAGACTGGAAGAAAAAAAGTTTTCATGTTTGGAGTTCATTCTTTTGGAGTACTGGAATT